CATGTCAGCTTGTGCACTTGAAGTTTTGGTAGGCTGCTAGCAGATGTGCACCCTAGCATTGCCCCGTTGCTCTCCCTCCAAGATGGGTATTCTACATCTAGAAGCTGACTGGGAGTAGAAAAGACAACATATTCCCCTTCAGTAATCAGGTGAAGAGGGGTCCTATCACTGCTACACTTGTGCAATCATTTTTAAGGTTCCTTTCATCATAAAATTCTGAAATTCAGTTAAAGAACAATATTGTGTCTTAAGTTTCAAAGGGAGGGCAAAGCCAAAATGTATTATTTATCTAAAGTGCAGTGCAGACTGAATATCACTTTCTGCTTTTGGTGCTTGAACCAACATTTTGTATTGAAGTAAGTAAAAGAAGAAGCTGGGTTCATCCGGTATATTTTAAAAATGTCTCCACTCAAAAGAAAAACTGGTTTTTTTAAATAGCTTGGTAAACATGAAAATAGACTATTGCTAGAATACCCTTATTACAATGAACTCCGTTGTATAAATTTTGAAGTATATGTTTCTCTAGGAAGGTGCAAGTGAACACACCTTTAGTCTTGGTTCAAGGAAGTATTGATCTAATTTCAGAGATAGAAAGAGTATAAAATCATTCTGTGTACACAAATATTTGGCAAAGAAAATTCAAGGCATATCAACAAGCCAAACTATGGAAGATGTTTGCAAATAAAGAGTTTTCTTAACTCAATTCATCCTGTAAGACATGTATGATTTTCTCCGGTAATTCTCCTCTTCTAAGCAGCATCTACAATGCACTCCTGCAACAAAAGTGGTTTGTGCAATTGTGTGATATTTGTTGATTAGTAGGTTACAGATTATTCTGAGGACTAGGAGAGAGAGAAATTTCACAACATTCCTTGGTGACAGAGTCATGATTTCCTCTGAAAAGTTTTTCTACTGATCTAGACTAACAATGAAAGCAAATACGCAGACATTTTGGTCACTTGACCAAGTGAACAGTTCACTTTCCACTCTAAACTGCACATAAAATATGTATAGCACAAAGAATGCTAAATCACATATTTGTTAATTGCTAAATCACTTAGAATATTGCAACTCAATAATATCTAAAATTCAAAGTGAAGTTTCTAAATTATTACAAATTGATGCAGAAGTGAGTCACGGAAAGTAGCATTTGTTAAGGGTCAGAGTACAAATAATGAGCCACAAACAAACATTTTGATGCTATAAATGCTGAAGATCTTCTGCCACAAGATTTTTTTCAGGTTCTATCAAATCTATTTGAAAGGAACAAGAATGGACTTTCTCTGGGGCTTCTCTCAGACTTTGAAACTTTGTATCAAGGGAGGTTAATCTAGTTCATTATTAATTCAGACTCACTTTTCACACTGGAGGGAGCAATTCTATGTACTCCACACAAATTTTGATGGTGGTGAGATATTCTGGATTCTCAACTCCCAAGCTGGAAGCACTGCCTCAAGCCACTGCCCTCCAGCCAGTGGAGGGAAAGCCACACCAACTGTTTCTCCGAAGAACTGTTTTCTCCAATGCTAGGAATGCATTTTGGCAAGTGGGAAATGAAGAAGACCAGAAAGGCTAGGATGATCTTCTCCAACATGCTCCTATACCCCTCTAAAACTGCTTTGCTAGATGGGCAAAGAAGTCTGACAAGAAGAAATTCAAGGCACAAGGACACCCTGCATAGGATGCTCCTAAGCTTCTGAGAAACAAGGGCAAAACCCATAGGATTGTGCACACAGATGTTCTGCTATACTGATCTGGTGGGTGCTATCATTTCTTTCCTTGTTGGTGCACTTAACTTCATGAGCATGAAAGTTTTGCTTAGAACTTTTGTTATTTTTTCCATATTTTACTGTTAGCCACTTTCAGCACTGTCTTTAGTGGAAAAACAGGATATAAATAAGTAAAATAAGCAAGTTAGATACTGGGCAGCACTGTTTTATAGCGGCTCAATTACTCTTTCATGAAAAAGTAGTGGTGCTATGTTATTGATTCCCTTCCACTGGAATTATACTTTTAAATGTCATACAGATCAATCTTATTTAGAGGTATATTAAAAACCAACTAGAAAAGCAGCATATAGATTTGACACTTAGTATCATAAGTACGTTTAAGATATACAGCACTATTCTTTAATTCTTTTCTGATCCATGAATTGTGGTGAGGTCTCTGAAAAGGTATTTGGAGCAGTTAGGGGCTGTCGAATAGGAACTGGAACTGGATCCATTTCAGACAGATGTTGATGACTGGGGAATGAAGTAGAGTGCCCAAAAGATGTCCCACATGTTTTGTCCCATCCCTTTTGTCTTCTCCTTGAAAAAGGACTAAAAGGTTTATGACCAACACACTTGAATGGCTGTCACTCCCTGGTTGTCTTCCCTAGTCTGGTGCTTCAAAACATCTGGAGGGTATCAAGTTTGAGAACACTGCCCTTTATGATTCTTCTAATTCCCTTCTACAGCATTCTTTTTCCTATGTAAAGAACCCAAATTACAGAACATCCATGAATTGACAGGTTTGTCTTCCCTAGCCTTAGCAAAGATTTTTTTATCCACCAGATATACTTTCTGCATTGGGAAGGATTTTGGATCCCTTCTGATGCTTTTTCCTGTCTCCAAACTCTTTGGCTCTACTGCATCCTAATTACTTTTATGTTGCTAAGGCTTTAATATTTTAAAAATAATACAAAGGAAAATACTAAAGAGAAAAAGAATGGGAAAGAGATAGAAAACGTAGAAATGAAGTAAATCATGGGCAATACTTAGAACTAAACAGCCAAGGACTGCTTAGCTAAAGGCCAAATTCAACTTTTCAAGTAATACTAGAAGTAAAAGCAATGATACAAGTAAGAATGTGAAATCTGCAACTTCAGAAGACAGTGATTTCTTTAGTTGATCTTGATATTTAACACAAAACATTACTGCATAATAGATATAATACTGCAAACTGATCTATACTGCCAAGAATTTCAACTTGGGAAATTGTCTTCTTGGTGTAATTTGAATAAAGCATATTTTTATCATTGACAGACTCCAACCAAAGCTCCCCTCTCTATCTGGCAATTTGGAGCAAATATTATCTAGTAGAAGCCCATAAAAACTTATGTTTTAGCAAATTAGCTGTCCAAGAGAGAAGTTTCCAGTAGAGTAACATGAGCGAAGAATGTGAAAAGCTGCCACTGTTAAATTGTGAGCTCTAATCCAACATGTTAATATTCGACTCCTATCAGTTTGAGTTGAACATCAGTACAATAATGGATCACGTGAGAGTTTTGATGGAATCCAGACTCAGCTGCAACCGCTCAAGCTCCTTAAGACTTTTGCAGTAACTGTAATGATTATTATTACTTAATCTGGGAACAGCGTCTTCAGGCTCCACTTTAGAAACTTCAGCCAGAAAATACCATGCTGGATTTGATGGAATTCTCAAACCTTTCAGAGTGCCCATGATCATGCTCTCCTCCAAAGCAGATCAAGCAAACATATAAAAACAAATCTAGATCAAGGCTCAGGAAAATAATAGCAAGATAACATAGATTTTAAGTGCTAAAATTTGGCAGAGACTGAAATCTAATCACATAACCATCTTAACCATTTATATAATTAAAGTGTGAAAACTCGGGTCATCAATGTCCTTTATATCAGACACAGGTCAATAAGGCTTATGTAGCTTACAAACAGGAATCAGAACTATAATCTATTGGCATGTAGAAGTCTGGAAATATATGGTCACCATTCTAGCTCCTACTTCCAACTGAAATTAGCTGAATTAGAGTGCTCCTGGATAAATGACTTCATGTGTTACCAGTCAGAAGAATCTGATTTGTTTTTATTCTTTAATGGATTTTCTGCAGTAAGGGAAAAGATAGAAGCAGAGTGGGAACACACAAGAGGGTTACAAATGGAAGATAGTTATATCTGGACACTCCATACAATTCTGTAAATAATGCAAAACAATGCACAGTACAAGTATCAGTTGGAAACAAACCCAAACATTACTACTTCTAAGTAATTTCCACTATGTCAAAATAAAAAAAATACTATTTCTGTAGCTCCAACACAACAAAGTAGAATGTATGGCAAGGCAGAGAAAAGATATGCCAACAGTATTCATCAGCACACACAGAGCAATCATAGCAAGTAGCAGCTTTTAGACACTTTGAAGAAGGGGAGAATGAGCACTGGTGTATACTGTAAATTCTATGGCTTGGTTCTCTGTCAGTGTTCAGCTGACATACAATCAACCCCTGCATTTGCACTTGTGAATGCCCTAGAGCCATTCAGTCTGTCAAATAATTTTTGGTACCTAGTTATAGAAAACAACAATGAAGAACAGTGCATGTGAGAGGAAAGTAGGCAAATATACATGTGCTGCCCAACTAGATATCAGCAATTCTCACACACCTGAAATATATAATACAGTTTTAAAATGGTTAGAATGAATAACTGGATAATACTAGATAATACATAAATGACACAGTGTGGGCCCCTTGGTTCTAGCCATTGAATGACTCAAAATATGAAAAAAATAGCAGAAACAGATACTATAACTGAAAAGATATCTTTATTCCATAACCGATGGTCAAAATACAGCACATTCTGAAACACCATTATTTAGCAACCAGGTACTAACATCTAAACCAGGTACTAATATCTGAATAGATGATATGGTCTATCTCCAGCAATCTGGAGAACAGTCTGCAGGACTGGATTTCAGAAGGATATGGCAAGGGATTGATGCTCCATTAGACACAATAAAGCTATAATACATTTCTTTACCAGTAACAAAACCTCAAAGGATGGGTCAGGATTACCGATAATGCAATTGCAGTAAAGTTTCCATTAGTTGCAGTGGATTGTATACATTACTAATTGAGATATACATCTCTATGTATTTTTAAGACTTCTTACTTTCAAGTAGCATTGGAGACACAAAACACTTTACTGCCACCAAAAAAGCAACATTTTTAACCTTAAAATGCACTGTGTTGCAAATATACTTACTTATCAAAACTATCACTATATTTTATGAAGCTCTCCAGTTTCTCCTTGGCATATTCCACCACATCTGGATGAAGTTCTATCCCATGATTTATTCCAAAAGGCCCTGTAAACCAAGAATCACTGATTCAGGTACCTTGTACATAAAACTAGACATGAAACTTCAGATATATGTGCTAAGCAACATTAAACAATATCTGACAAGTGGAGAAATGGACAGGAATTGGAACATATGCTTCACTTCCTTGTACTTCAGTAAAGCTAAAAGAGGGGACTTTATGATACATATAGACAAGGGGAAACTGTAGTCATAAAGCTCAAGATGAGTTGTAAAATGTGTTCCTCATCAGGATTGCAGAATGATGTCTGAATTATATAATAAAGAGAAGAACCCAGCATGTGGTACCTATCTGTGTGAAACCAGAAACCAGAAGAATTTATACTGAAACCATAGTTGGACTGAAAGGTCATGCCAACCTTCTGTAAAGTTTGAAACTAGAGGCTTAGGTTTTTTTCCCCCCATTACATCCCCCTACTCTTGCAGGCACGATCATTATTCATATGGTCCTAGATAGCTAAAGGCATACTGCTAAAAATAAAAATATTGCCCCCCCACACACATATGATGTGGATAACAACACTGCTCTTCATATGGCTAATTTGTGTTTCTTAAATTTTGTAGCCTTTGAAAAAGAAGCATAACTGGGGGAGCTTTCAAGCATTAAATAGAGCATAGTAAGTCTATGGGGGTTGACAATCAATCCAAACTTAGCTGTAAGATATGTAAAAAATGGAGAAAGTTTTCATTATTTATCTAAGGATGTAAAAATATGAAGTGGAGTCATTGAAGTCGGGACATACTATCTTGAGATGCTTGACGAAAATGAGGAGGAAGGGCTGTTTATTCTTCCTTTACACACAGTATAATTATGGAATGGTTATATTCCTTCAAATGTTTTGTCTCCCTATATAGAAAGCAGTAAATTCTACAATAACATACTAACACATAATAACACCTTTGCAGCACTGAAAGTATGACTGAATTTGTGCATTTTCTTTCATATTTTTATTATCTGAGTGAACATGAGGGGAAGATAATGGCTTGTGTGTAGCAAGAAATCAAAAGAAGAAAGCTGATTCATTAACAATCAATATTTACTGGAAGACATGCTTCCAAATGTTCTTTTTGGTAAAATTTGTATTTTTAATAGTTAATATATGAATTTCTCAAAATATTCCCAATGGCAGAGCTTTTCAGAAAATCTGCTTCAGAAAGTGTTTTGGAAATTGTTAGAACATGTCTAAGAAGGGCATTTGCAACTGCATCTGATAGCTGCAAGTCTTATGGGAACTGTACTGATGTCTGCACTGATCACTTAGTCCATATAAACTAACAGGATACAGAAGTGGCACAGAGGATGATAACTCCCTCTTGTCAATATGAGGTACCATTTGAGTTCATAATAACAACACTCATTACCTGAACATCAGCAATAGGAGGGATTTACTGTACAAAGTTATGACTCTCCATTTTTGCCCAATATCAACCACCTGAAAATAAATATTGACCAAAAGTAACTCTTATCTAACAGCTAATTCATACCATGGAATTTGGTCAACATTGTATTGAGAGCCAGTGTGGTGTAGTGGTTAAGAGCATGGGACTGGGACTAAGAGGATCTGGGTTCTAGTCCCCGCTCAGCCATGGAGCCAACTGGGTGACTTTGGGCCAGTCACAGACTCTCAGCCCAACCTACCTCACAGGTGTGTTGTTGTGGGGATCAGATGGAGGAGGAGAATGATGTAAGCTGCCTTGAGCCCTTTGTAGGAAAAAGGCAGGATATAAATTGAAAAATAAAAATAAATAAATAAATGTTGCAGGGAAGTGTTCTATTCCCCACAAGAGAAAGTAGTGAGTCAGCTGTTTAGCATGAAAGGTAATAGCCTTTTTTCTAAATCTTATGCTAATAATATAACAAACATTTTTTCAATTTTTATTTTTTTTTGTAACTAAAATCTTTTCAAAAACATTGTTTAAAAGCAAAAGAAACACGAGTGAGCAACTTGTAGTCATTCAGATGGGGTTTCTTTTCCCATCTATCACTTCCATAAGGCCTAGCCAGCTTTGTTAATGATGATGGATTATAAGAGTTGTACACCAGAATATCTGGAAGGCGAAAAGCTGCACACTTTGTTCTACACTTCTCATCTAGTCAAAGCAGCAAGAGGGCCTCCCAAATTGGATCAGAACTAAAGTACTAAATAAGGGGAGCTATAATAGGCACCGACCTGTATCCCCCACTCCCTTTCTTTGTGAAATAGTGGTTTCTTCCACTGAGGAAAATACAGGTACCCTGAGTGCAGAAACTGAATTGTACCATACCCAACACTGCTGCCCAAACCAATTGTTCCTCTTACTGTTACTTTTAACTAGAAACATCAGGAGATCCTGTTACATATCTCCTATATCTTGCATAGATTGGCCCAAACTGACAGCACATTAAATAACTTATTTAGCCTTCACTTTTGAAAAGACAAGATAGGCTTAAGGCACAACTTAAAATTGAACAATTACTTGTTAAATCAGCTAGAGGAATGTTTATTAAAAGCTTGATCAATTATTTGAAGCATTGTGATTTATTATCAGGGAACAATTAGATGTGGAAAGACTAAAACTCTACTAAATTGAGTGTGAGTTACACAAGCACACAGCTGTAAAACCTATAAACCATGTCTGTCATCAAAAATGCAGGTTCATAATTGTAAAAACATTACCTAATATTAATCCCACCATTGTGCTTAAATAGCCGGTTCCACTGCCCAGATTAAGAAAAGACAATCCTGGCTGAAGTTTCAATGCTTCCATGACTTCAGAATAAATGCAAGGTGCTGATAAATGGATATTCCCATGCTTCCAAGCCAAGTCTTTATATGCATTATCCCTATAGCCTTCCAGATAGTAATCACCACGATCAATAGCTCTGAAAGCTTGCTCCACTCTTTCAGTGCGAATATATTGTGCTTCTTTCAAGTTATCAATTAAATCATCATTGTCTTCTCCTGCACTCACAGCTCCTCCCATGGTGATTTTCTCTAATAATTCAATTAACTTCAGCAATATATTGGCAGGTGCTTCTTTGATGTTTCCATGCAGAAGAGGATCCACTCCTGTCTGGTTTAATACTGCTTTGGAAGAGAATCCTAGAAGATTTTTAAAAGGACATGCTTTAAATATCTAATTTAATGCAGGGATCACTGCTTAGAAAAGTTATTAATAGTCATTTGTGTCTAATATTCTGCATAATAATAATGTTGAATTAACCCAAAGGTTTGATACTACTAGTTCTCAGAATTTCTATCAGCCTCCTCATATGGAACTAAGTCAGAGCAAATGCAGGCTGGAAATGTGCATTTGATGCTCAGATAAAAGCAGGCCTAACAGAAGAAAAGAGTAGACCCATATATCAATCCTTAATTCAGGAAGATGTCATAAGTGACAGCAAAGAAAGCCAACAAGGAAGAACAGATGCTCCAGTGCCCCAATAGCAATGATCAGTACAAAGAATAGCTATAGACGTATAGTAGGATTATGCTAGATTTAACTGAAACAAGGATCCATACGTAGGCATTCAGCCTTCTGTCTAAATCAATACGTACCCTAGCCTATGAAGAGAAGTGTGGCATAAGCCAAAACTGAAAAATTCTATAGTCATTTTAAAACCTATGATCATTTCTAAAAGTTTTAGGGACTATAACAGTAATAGTGTAATGTTAAGTCATGGATTGCCCTGGCACAAGTACTTCCTATCACCTTAAGATAAGGAAACAGCCAAAGGATGCAGCAAACCTCCAATTCTGTGGCAGGCCAGAGAAGGATGATTCGCAGTTAACAAGCACACAAAGTCTAGTTGTAATAAAGGAATCTTTAACATTAACCTTTGCCTAACCCAGCTAAAGTTATATAATAAGTCCTTATTCCCTGTTTTACATGGAAAGTTAAATTGTATTTTTACCTTTTCCCAACAAAGATCAATGGCACTTGCTTCATTCACTTTTTACAGTACAGTAAGTACTTAGTGGAGATTCATTTTTCTGTTTCCATTTTCAGCGAGGGAACATAATACTTTTGGTCTTGATGAGCATATGTGATGCTGAAGGTCACACTCAAGTTTTAGCAAACTGAATGAAGATCTCCAAGGAAAGAAGTAGAAAGCTTTCCTTCCACCCCTTCTAACAGCAATCCCAATATAATTGTTCTTCCTCATTGCTAATAGCAGAAGGGGCAAAAGTAATCTGCATGAAGAGTTCTGGTGGCAAAGTGGGAGACTACAGATGTCCAGAATAATTGCTTTGGGTGTGCAGGTGACCCTAGGCCCTGGGTTTTGTACCTATCAACTACAGAAGTCCAAGTGAAAACATTGTGTATTGGATCACATTTAGGTTATTAAAATCAGTCCAATTTCCTTGGAATAACAAATTACACATAATTGGGAAATGGCATATACAATACCTAAAAATGTTAATGATGTAAATATTAATGAACTAATATTCTGTTATATACTAAAATAGTAATATTTATTGGAAATTATACTCAGCAAGCTATATTCTACTTTGAATCATACACTCAGGATTTTTGGCTGGTCAACAAATGTATATACTTGAAGGGGGAAACATTATTCTTTGCAGTCAAAATAGGCTATTATTTGTAAGTTTTGCAGTCTAAAGTTTGCTTTCAAACACTTGAGGAAGAAACCCTGATATGCCAGTCATGTGCCACCAAAAAACAAAAGACAAAACAAATGCATATAATATTAACAGGAAAACAAAGCAAGAGTGACAGAGGAGCCCTTACTTCAGGAGATCCACTTCCCTTCAAACAAGCTCAGAAATGTGGTTTCCGCTTCCAAATTTTTCTGATAATATCCATCTCCTTGAAGCTGACATCTCAGTAGAACTAGTTTCTGGTAACACTTGAGACTACAGAATGCAATTCCCATGATGCACACTAATTCGTGAGAATGCCATGGGAAAAGGCTTAGTTTTCCAGTTTGTGGCTTCTAAGCAAAATTTTGTGACATCACTTTTTCTAAGCATCAGAATAATGGATCCTCCTCATGCATTCTGCCTTATCTCTTTCATTTTACAAGAGAGCTAGGACAGCTGAGTTGAGCATAAGCAAAATACCTGTTAGCAAAGATCTTCTTGTTGAGATAGCATACTTAATGCACCTAATATGTACTTCAATATTTTCTTTTGTTTTTTTAATTACAAATTCAAATGCCCTTTCTCTGAGGACCCTAAGGAATGATCCTTAGTTCATATCTTGCTATTTCCTCATTCTTAGCAACTGTGAATGATACAACTGAGGTGCAAGAGATAACTTTGCACAGCACACTAAGTTACTACAGTCAGTGTTCATGTAACAGTCCCATATTACTCCCAGCAGAGAATTCGATTTATGTAAATTACCATGAGTAATGTCTCTTCTAGGCCTCCTGGGCTGCTTTTAGTACATATTTTAGGTGACCTTGCAAACAAAATCCTCATTCCCTCATTAGATACAGCAACATCCTTTCTGCAAGTGGTCCACTAAAATTGCCCTTTCACAAGGGAAATTCTCCTCTATTGCATCAGATTGCCAAACGAGTATAATTTTTTGAGTTCTTATGAACAGAGTGATATAGTCACTATTACTACTGGGGTCTTCTGCAAGTGTTCAGGAGAACAAGAGCATTCATCTGCCATTTAATCCAGCATACTGTTATTTCTCTCCTGGCAGTACGCTTGTCTTGCTAGTAAAGAGCCTTTGCTGTTACTATTTGTTTTAAGGTTGTTTCACATGCTTGCAATGCAATTGCACCTGCTTCTTCTGCATCTGTGAGCCACTTCTGGTTCCTCCCAATACTTTCATGCTTCTTACTTCCTTCCACTGGTCTCTACTGTTAGTTGTCAGGTATACATATGAGTTATAAAGCAGTGATGGGAATCAAGAGAACACATTTCAGGGTAGAATAGTGAGGTAGATTGGTAAAGTTTCAAGGCAGATCAGTAAAGCAGAGGCGGAAGCTATACAAATTTCAGAGTAGCAGACATTTTAACAGATGTACCTGCACAACAGCAAAAGAAGGATCAGAACACACTCTTTGGTCCCTAACCCTTTTGGAAGAACAGGGTAAAGAGCACTAACAAAGAATTTCAGAGGATGGCAGCTGCACTACTGCCATCCCCACAATCACAGTTAATGGCAGGAGTTTTCTCTGTTCATGTCAGACTGCTCAGAAGCCAATCCTGACAACGCACAATGAAGTTGCCCAGCCAGGTCTGAAGACACCAAACAACCCAAAAAGCTGTGGGTCCTCAGGATACGTTGTTCATAGAAAACAACCCATGACTAGGTTAAAATGTCATGACAAACTACTCTGTGATAACCCTCTGTGATAACCCACAGTGGCGACCCACTATGGCTTATTCTGTTGTGAGAACCATGTCAGCGACTATCCAAGTCACCCAGCAAGTTTTCTAGGTGGAGTGGAGATTTGAACTTGGGCCTCCCTGGTCCTAGTCTGAGACTACATCAGTCTGACTCTAAACAAATTGATGGCGTCTTAAACATCAAGTAGAATATCCTTGATTCCTTTCAACTCACAGAACCCTAACATACAATTATCCACTATTTGGGTGGTTCCTTCGCAGGTCCCATGGCTGTTGTTTTGATTTGCTAGTTGTTGAATATCTTCCTTAGCACTTTCGTTGCCTATTACCTAGTCTTTCTTTATCTATCAATTTAGTCTGGATTTTGACTTTTTATTTAGTGTTCATTCCTTAAGGTAGCTTGGTTATAGACTCTCACAAACTGAGGAAGAACAGGGGAAAAAGTTAAGTGATTATACACCAAAAAAATAAAAAATAAAATCCAAAATTAACTTCAAGAATATGAGTATCTCTGATGTTGTTAAGATATTACATATAAAGCTAACAAAAGATACGCTAGCTGATCCATGATTAAAATATTCAAAATTCACCAAGAGGGAAAAAAATAAAAAAATCCACAATTCAGCAAGTAATGAAATACAAATGCTGTCTAACTGTGACCTGACTAACTCAGGACAAACATTAGATCTGAGTTATATCTGGTTCGGTTTGATTCTTTCCCTTCCCTTTCCTCCCTCCCTCTCAAAGAGGTAGGTATTATCTGATACCCACAATACTTATGAGTGACTCATTCAGTCTGCAACCACCATTTTGACATTTGGCCTATTCTGCAGTCTTCCTAGCCACAAGATCTGGCCTTTTCTGTTTCTTCCCCTAGGTCCTGTCAATTTTTCCTTATATGCTGGATGTATTACAAATAATAGCCAAACCGTAAGAGAATAATATAATCCATTACTCACTATTATTTAAGGGTTTTGTTTTTGTACAAATTAGGCTAGCATAATAAGATCATTGTTTCTATTAACAGAAGGATAAATATACCCACAAAATGTAGGCAGAGTTATAGTAATATAAACTACTCACTCTAGTATTCCATTTACAAAAATGGTTAGTCACATGCTTTGATGAAGCTCTCCAGCAGGACTGACACAAAGCAACACCATTTCTTTTCCCTTACAACTGTTGTTCAAATTTATACTTTCTCTGAAGGAGATGGTTCCACTTTGCTATTATACTTAACCACTGACAGACCAATACTAAATGGATTTATCTAATACTCCTTTAAGTATTAAACTAGTGACAATACCCTTTCTGGCAGTAAATTCTAAAATCAAATTAGGACAACTGTATTCACTGTCTCAGTTCCTGTGGTTTCACTTAACTGTGGTTGCTCATGGCCCTCCACGTCCATGGGGGTTAGGGACACAGGATCCCCATGAAAGTGGAAAAACAGTGAATATTTCCAGAGAGAAAAAAAGTCTTTTCAGCCACTGAGAGACAAAATACATGAGTAAAACTGGCAAGTACCGAGATAAAGAATGTGGCATCCCCAAACAGAGTCCCTAGAGATATTCATGGTTTTTCCATTTTTGTGGGGGTCCTGTGCCCCTAACTGCTGTAAATGTGGAGGGCCAACTGTACAGTTTATAGTGTTTGTGACTATTCGCAGTTTCATGTGTCTGCTGGGGGGCTTGGAACCTATCCCCCGCAAATACAGAGGCCTTACTATATCAGTGTTCTGTCAAGTATCTGCCCTACCAATTTTTATCACTTTAAATGCCCCCCCACCCCCTTTTAATATAGGTCGCTCTTTTATTAAAAGCAAAAACAGGTTTGCCATTGCTTTAATCAATAACATACTGATTAAGTTGCAGTCATGGTTTTGTTGTTTGAAATTAATGTCAGTTTGTGCATCTGTCTCTCTCTCTCTCTCTCTCTCTCTATATATATATATATATAGAGAGAGAGAGAGAGAGAGACAGCCACACAAACTAGCATTAATTTGTTAATTAATTAATTTGTTAAACATTATATATATATATATATATAGACAGAGAGAGAATAGAGATAGATAATCAGCTATTAGATGGTATAAAAATGAAATTGCTTAATTAATACGGCTGCAATAAGCAGCAGCAATGTAGCAGTTCAGCAGTGCTCCTCATTGTTAACAGAATGACTCAATGGAACTGATGCTATGTCATGATTTAGTATCATTCCAAAGACATTCTATTGTCTTGGGGGATACTGCATCCATGATAAGACTGTCTTGTGTGAAATAACTCAGGACTTCATAACCAGCATTACAACGTTTGAAGTATTATCTGGTGAACACATGTGAGGAACACACATTTGAGTTGGCCTTCCAGAATGGGATGGGTGAAGGTGATCTATAAATGAGGAAGATATCCTGCCAGGTTTGAGTCACAGGCTACCGTATCTACCCTTTCTGGGGAAGGGAGGCAGATTAAATGATCCACCATAGGCAACTTATGGGTCTGCATAGTTTTCTTGTGTTGCTAAATGACCTTCCAAACAGAATTGGCTAGCAATCCCACAGACATCATGTAATAAAGAGATAAGACTATTGTTATGATCACTCCTAAACATATCTGGCCAATCAGTAGAGTGCTATTGGCTTGTTGGTATCCAAGAAGCTGAGAGCAATAAAACATCTTTGCTGATTAGAATTGATATGACTTAAGACTCAAAGAGTTAGGGTTCAGGTTAGAAATGGTTGTGGCTAGTTCTTTATAAGCAAGGAAAGGGTAAAGCTGTAATCTTATGGAATTTCTAACAACTTTTCCCATACCAAGTAACAATTAAAATAAGACTTGTGGCAGCTATAAATTGCCAAGATTTTACTAATCCCTATGACATTTCTGGCATATGCAATGTCTTATGCAATGTCTTCACTGGAGTGCTTCAATAACCACTGGAGCTTAGCCTGCTAAACACTCCCAGCCTTCATGCTGCTGCTGACATCATCAGCCATATTTCCCAGCAATCCTTAGAAAGCAATGTTATCCAGGCAGTATCCCATCTCATTGAACTTTTGAGCCAGCAGACACTCAGAACAAAATGGAGAAATTGCCCAGCATGTTGTCCATCTAGACTTGCTTTGTGAAGGGCACCTTTGAACATCTTCAGTCTGACCAAGTTACTACAGAAGAGAAATCTATCTTTGCTGGGCAGAAGAAAGGGGAAGAGAGCTGACTTTCAAAACTCTTAGACAGGAATTGACTAGCGCTGCAAGATGAAAATTGATACTTAACATAAGCAATATTTAACTATTATTGCTATTAAATACTTGAACTATGTATAAATAGATGCAACTTTAAATATAAGCAAATTCTATATGTTTTTGTCTTTTTAATCATTTCAATAATTGTAGCTTGATACAAAAAACAAATTTGTACTATGCTAGCCACTTACAGGGAAAAACAGAATCACTTACCTATAAAAATATATACTTCTAGGGAAAAGCCATCTGGCCTACCTTTTCTTGGCTATATTTTTTCTGCAAGTTATCTTCCCCACAGAATTACTGTAAAATAATAAAAGAAAATATGAAAAAGTCTGCCAATCCAGCTGATATATGCATGTAAGATTGCCAACAATATAGTCACACAAATCAGATTGATTTAAACCACTGAGAAGAAAATCAGATTTAAAATTGACCTTCCAATCCATAATTCATTCATTTATTTATTGAAAAGCTATGTATACTAGTTGATGTTTGTAACAATTAATAGACATTAATTTGAAAATATTGACAACATACTTCATGCTAGCCAGGAACAATCTTTCAAAGTACAGAGCTTATATCTGCTTAGGGGAGCATTTGCACAATTAAGAGTTTGTTCTCATTGAGCAAGAGGGGACACTTGCTTCCCTGTTCCCTCCTTCTTATAATGGTGCTCTGAACTCACTGAAAAGCTTCTCTTGAGGTTTGGATGACTCTCAGTAAAAATCTGGGAAGAGAGAGAGAAACTGGCCATAGTCACTTCTGTGAGCACAGAATTTGGGTTATTTTGACTGCAAAATATGCAGTCAGAGACTTTTTTAGTAATTGGAACAGCATACAAAAATGTTAAATAAATAAACTATATATTGACTGTTCACCTAATATTACTGTATGCACACCCAGTTACATGCTCAGTTACCTGCCTCTCTTTTGTAAACCACTTATAATATTTTGCAACCACCTATTCAGTTCTAAAATTACAGAACAACAGGGCATCATGCCAGGAAAAAAAAAGTCTAACTTTGTACAACTTAGGAATCAATATTGTACAATTAGGAAAAATGGTATTTGTCACTACAAAATGGATTGTTTCACTACAGTTTAAACTACAACAATACTCAAAGTCACTTACTTGTTCAACATTAGGTTTTTGCAGCATAATATTAATCATGTACCCTGGTAGAAACACAGTAATAATGAAGCAAGACAGCCATACTGAATCCTTTGGAAAGAAAGGTATATTGGTACCAATCTGATAAATCAATGAACAGCTGAATAAAAACAATACCAAAGTCTAGTAAGCTACTACTGATTAATAGCAGAATACAGATCAAACTATAGAAAAGTTTGTTTATATTATTTCTATTAAAAATAAAATAGAACTGCCTTAAAACTGCTGCATCTGGGATTGTTTGCACAATACAAAAACCCACTGTGGCAATAAGCCATGGTGGAATGGCTCTTTTGTGAAGGACCAATCCTGAACTCAGTAAATGTTCAAGCACATCACTGGTACTTTGCCTCACCTCTCTCACACATCGCTCCAGGCAAGTATCACAGGGGACACCAGCAGAAGAAACAAGTCTCCTCTAACAAATGCAATTGCAAGCCCATTTTGGCTCACCTCAGTGACTGTTGTTGTTGTTGCTGAGGCTGGGCACACAGGCAGCCTCTTAGAAGAGAGTCTGCTTGGCTAACACTAGCTTCCAGATCCCTGTCTAGGGAGACAAGGCCCACATCATCACTGAAGAGTTGGAGCTTGGTTGTGGTAATGCCAGGACTCTGGTGGAACCAGTACTTCTGCAACTGCTCCTCCTCTTAGCATCTTGGGTGGGTGGGGCTGACGGAGGGGTTGCAGTGGTGCTCATACTCCTCAGCCCCATCAAGTAATCAAGAGATAACTAAGACTATTAGTCAGCCAGACTACAGTTTGGTCAATAGAGCCCCATCTTAGACTGTGGATGTTCAAGCATGAGTTGAGGGATCACAGATGAGCAGTCTTGGCTGTCCAAACTCATCATGGTCACTGTTGCAGGATGCAGGCAGGAAGCTGTTGGAGAATTCCCTTTGTGCAAGATAAAAGGGGAATTCCCAGATACTTGCTCCTTGCCTGCTGCTGCTGAGTGTGCCTGACATGCTCCATAGCACTGTCCTGAAGATGGTGCATAGCAGATCCTTGCCGCCTGCTCAAGAGGTTTGCTCTCAAGCAGGAATTGAGAATCTGCTATGCAGCACTGTCCAGCACTCAGGATAAAACCACAGAGCAGTCTGGGCCTCTCCATCTCTTAAGAACATATCAGAAGATGATCTGTTCCACAGTACTGTCCTGAACATTGGGAAGTGGCACAGAAAGAATTATTTCCTGAAGCCTGAGAAATCTGTTTTCCACCCATGAGAAAGTATGTCTGCTATTCCTTACCAAATAGATGAGCAGTATTTTGCAAGGAGGAGCAGATACCTGCCATTTATTTATTTACATGTATTTACATCATCAGGGGAGACTTCTCAAGCCACCAGCAAGGATGCTTACTTCATATCACTGCAGGTGGTGATGGGAGAACCTTCTAACAAACTCTGAAGTGCCTCTTGGTCATCTCCAGAGTACCCAGCAGTAATACTCACATGGCAAGCACCTGTTAAGAACAGCATGGAATTTTTTTGCTGCTCTTGCCACGATAGTGGGTTGTGTCTTCCCAACATGGCTTAGTGTTATAATAGTCCTAGGGCAACCCATGGTTTCTCAAGCCCACCATGGGCCGCCCAGTCTATGTTCACACAACACAACAACCCATCAACAATAATGAACCATGGTGGGTTGTCATATCATTCAAGCTCAGTCATTTTATCTGCTATTTTCTACAAAGAACAGGTTTTTAAGGATTCTGCCTGCACTGACTCACTTAAAAACCAAAGAAACAGCCCCTGCATGCAAATATAGAATTGCATGTTTGTAAAACCAGAAAGATGTGTGACCAAAATGCCCATGGTGGTAGCAAGGCTCCAACTTTGTTTTTAATTCTGCATTCAATGCAACTTCTTTTCCAGTAAATTTCTGTTGTGAAAAACCATAGCAAACACATAGGAAATTTTTCCTATTTCTCATTTTTCCTTGATTGACAAATGAAGCTCACTTGTCAAAATGATTGCAAGGCATTATCAATACTGACTCTAATCCAGGAGCTCATGCATACAGCAGGAAGCTGATGATCTTAGCCTCCCTAAGATGGATGAAATCAGCTTTGAAAGTACTAGTACTCTTTAGAAGCAATGGAGTCATCATGTTTATATGGAAGCTAATGAGAAAGGCAAGGGAATGGGGATTTAGGTCCCCAATTCACCTTACAAAGGATGAGGGCCAATGTGCAGTGGTCAATAACATAATGCTATGCTTTGATAGTTCCAAACCTTACCCCTCCAAGGTCAGTGCAAAACTTTGGACCTATCACTCTCAGCCTAATCTACTTCAAACATTTATTATGAAACGAAGAATAAAGGAATGTGTGCTACCTTGAGGTCCTTTAAGTTTAGGGTATGCGTAGGGGAGACTGTAACCGGAAATGACTGGTGCTTGGGCTGAGGTGATGAATAACCAAAACATGGCTGAGTGAACATGTTATTATGAATTGTACCCACCAGTGTACCTACAGCCTGAGCACAGATTTGAGGGTTGTGGAGGAGGAATTTCCTTAGGCTTTAAGAAAACCAGCACATCTGTTTGTCTACTATCCTGG